TATATATGTTTCGAGCAATTTTCCTCACTTAACTTTTAGATGGAAATGACGCTGGTTACGGACGTGTACGTATTTACTCATTAAGTGCTCAGCAATTCCAACGATTTTTCTCTTTCCGCGTTAATGGCATGTTCTGAGCCGGCGGCATGAACGTCCGTGTGAATCATTTGTTATTTGTACAAACGTTGCAAACGTCGTCCCGTGAAATTTGACAAGTAACAGCCCCTCTGTATCAACGCTGTCAAGCCCTCTCTTCCTTCACATTCTCGCCGAAAACTTTTCTCACTCATCCCCACATGTTCTTCCCTCCCCACATGAGAAATAGTCCTTTTTCTTGGAAAAATTCAATTTTCCTTCACGAACATGGCTATTTTTTTTCAAAGGGGATAATAAAATTATATAAGTAATGAGAGACTTTGATGACGAATATTTGACCGAAGGAAAGACGAATATCAGAGCCATTAGTTCGTCAGGAATTATTGATTGCTGATAATGCAACTAATGTATCGTACGACTGACACGTTAATCAACGTGTCGTATTATGATAGGAAGGTATCTTATTTCCGATCACTTTCTATCTATAGCGGCAGTATCTTATTTAGCGTATCGGATTGATCCGTACGAACGTACGCATCCTCGATGTAATATCGAATATTCTTCCAGAGGCGTGCTATCTTTGCTGGAACCTTGAAAGAGTTAAGGAGACATAAGGCGCTGACAGCTGATGGCGCGTACAATATTCTAGTCTACGTCGGCGGACATGCGGAATTATATATCGGAAATTGGAGCCCGATATTCAAACGAAGTATGTCAGGGTTTATTACGTGCGAGGCCGTCATGCAGCACGACTCATGTCACCTTCGATGCTTCGATTATAATTTATTGAGCACATAATATAGGAAACGAGTTAATTCAACCTACTTTATTACGTTACATTAAATACTAATTACATAAAAATACATTAAATACTTATTTTACAATAATTTTATGAAATAGCTGGATAATCGCAGAGTAATTCGCCACACGATACATTAAGATGGGATTTTTTTATCAAATTGATCCAAAGTTTTCAACATATAACGTGCAATTCGTGCAGTACAACTTCCGAGTAAAATTGTGCAGATATTGTGAAAGATATTGTAATTAGAAATATATATATATATAAAATAATTTAAGGAGATTAAACGATTTTTCGATCTCGAGGAACGTTTGTTACGGCATGATGTGATTCGGAACTTTACGAGTGGAGCAAACGATCTTAATCGAGAAAAGAACTCTCGACGGCACGCGCCTCGCGCGATATTTTGGCCAGACTTCCGGGCCAGCACGCGAGAAACATATGGCATGTGGAATACAATGCGGCATCCGTCAACGAAGAAGACTTAAGGATGATTTGAGAAACAAACATACAGCGAGTTTAAGAAATCTCGAGAATCGCGCACGATTCCCCGTTTGTGAGAGATGCACTTAACTCTTCCGTATTATCTTCAATCGTTGTTACGTTGATAAAGAAATGAGGTTTCATCGGCGACGATTAGCTGTATCTGTAGACAGATAACGACTTCTTCGGCAAACCGTCACCGTTGTCCCGTCGAAAGCATCGTCCCGTCGGAAGCCGACGTTTATCTGGAGCTTCGCTCCGTAGAGACTCGGCACGTTTAGCAAAAATCGGGTAATTAGCTGGGAATCGGCGGTGTTTGATGTGCAAGCGAGCAGGCTTGAATCCGATAAAGTAACGGCGGCTGCAACCCCTTCCATTTCCGCGGCGGCCGCGCCGCGAGGCTGCCCGCAGTCGACGTCGAAGCGGAGGCGCGCGAGCGTCGGTGCCCGCGCCGATCAGTCCGCGCGGGACGCTCGACGAGCGAGGATCGTGTTCACGGCTTGGCTCTCGAGGTCTCTCTCAGGTGCACCGGTGGGTTAACGGCTAGAGCGAGGGAGGGAGAGAAAGAGGGCTAGTTTTCCGCACGCAGTTTTCCGCAGGGCCGACGGCGCCGTAAAGGAGAAGGGAAAAACGGCGGCGATCATAGAGAAGCATTTCTCGCGAGACGACCGGGACCCCGGGAGTATTGGAGCACAGATGGTGAGAGGTGAGAGAAACAAGAGAGAGAATACGCGTGTATGTGTGTGTGTGTGTGTGTGTGTGTATATATATATATATATATATATGTGTGTGTATATGTATTTATGTCCCTTCGCGCGAAATAGGAGGGCATTTTTACGTGCAATCGATCGGCCTGCTGGAGAAACTCCCTTACTTATCCCGTTACCCACCCTTAATAGAGCCGGACGTAACGATGACGATGGCCGGGTCGGTCGCGAGAGAGATCGTTTTCCCTCATGCGCGGGTTAACGTCCGTTAATCCTGGGATCGGAGCTTAATCCGTCACGTTAATCGAATTCAAGCGAAATTGGCTGCTTAGTCGTCTGGTCGAGCGCGGGGAAATGTGATCAAAGCGATGCGACACGACGTTCGGATAATTTTGTAATTTCCAATGATATAAATTAACATCTGTTAAATCCTTTACTTAGAAATTAATTTACTGAATCAGATTTTATTTCTTGCTAGATAGAATCATCGCCATCTCGAGGAAATTAGACGCGGTAATAATCCTCGTAACGAGATAAATTATATGGAATTATCATATTTTATAAATCAGTTTTTGGAAAAATGAATTATTACGAAAAAACATTTTCGTTCTTATTTTCAAAGTTTCTGTAAAATAATATTATGAGAGATTCATTTATCTTAATCAGTTTTGAGTATAATTAGCTAAATTAATTCAAAACTAAATAACATAAAGAGATAAAAACAAAAATGTGTCTGTAAATCAATACCATCAAAGAAAATTATTTTTGTGTTTATATTATTTTATGATCTTTCAATGTTTGAATATGATATCTCACAGCCCATTACAGCCCCAAAGAGGTTGAAATGTTTCGTAACGAAGCGAGAAACCTAATCATCGTTATCCGATTAACGATGAGAAATGGTGCTCCCGAGAGTGTATTTCGGTCGTATCTCAAATGAAATTTAAAGCCCGACTATACGACGATCGATTTCATTCAAATTTAAGGTAGAACTTAAATTTGATCACTCGCAGACTGGCTTATTAGTTTCGTTTGACGTAAGACGGCCGTGGAGCTGGAGCAAAATTTGTTCGACTGTTCCATTGAGCGTAATGAATAATTGATTTCGAGCTTAAGTCGGAGCGGATGAATCGAAAATTTTCCTTCGACCGGTATATTCGCATTCGCTATTTCCTGGAATATCCAACGAGTGAAAATGCGATGTGCGAGATAAAAATATTCTATTACAGGAAAACTCGCCGGTTACTCGTTTATGCCGAATAATAAATGACATTTGCTTAAATCACGATTTTTCTAGAAAATATATTTTTACGGATTCGTAAATTATTTACAGATGAATCAGTAACATAATACACGTGTTTACCACGTTACTTAATATATAATTGATCGGTGTCTCATGCGTCTAAATTTCTTAGAACCCTTTTATTATTCATATGTTGCCTTTTATCGTAATTACGGATCGTAATTATGGATAATCTTGTTGATTAATTTTAATAGTAGCAGAAATTATATATATATGATTGATGCATGAAATTGACGCAGAACAACATAATAGATATCACAGTAAAATCACGGTAACAACGCGTCCGGCTCAGAAAAAATGTCTGACCGTAACCGGTCTGACTCTACTTAAATTACATATCCATGGTCATCCTCTCTCTCTCTCTCTAACGTACATAATAAATATTATCTAGCGACAAAATATGTTTTCTCGTTACATAAACACATAAAGAGAAATTGAATTACATTAGATTGAGCATATTTATTATTCTTTCCTTGCTTTATCAATTAACTCCTCCGAACGATTATTTTCTTCCGGATTATTTTATCTCTCTTCACACCAGCTTTTGTCTTCCTTTTCCTCTAAAGAGCCGGGGTTGGTATCTCAGGATAATAATAAATTGATCTCCCTTTCTCACTCTATTTTTCTCTTTTCTATTCTTCTCTATTCTACTCTCTTCCTAGATACAACACCTGTTCACCCATAAACGCAAATTACGCTTTCCGCGTGCCGGACGAGAGAGTGTCAGTCGCGAAATGAGCCTGTCGGTCTTCCCGCGAGACCCAGCGTGAACGACGTTAAATTTACATTGGCGTCGCGAGGCCGAGAAATCGGCCGGCTGTCATGTTGCACCGAGACTGAAGGTGCTTAAATTTAAGTTTCACTCGAAAATTTCGAGTGATACGAATATCGCGCCGAATTGAATCTGTGCGCTACGCGGCTTCACAACGTAACGTATATTTAAACCCCATTAAACAATTTCGGGTAGATACGTTGCAACTGGACTTAAGAGCCCCCGTGACGATCGTGCGATAATGTAATCGACTGCAATTCCGCTCGTTTTATTCCCACTTTCCTTCATCGCTATCTTACTCGCGGTAATTCACGGACTTATTGCAAATTAAAAAAAAAAAAACTGTAATATTAAAGATCAATAATAAAAATATATTTTAAGCTAATATATTTAAAAAAAAAATTCAAAATTTTATTGATTGAAATTTTATTTGTTATGTGCAATAAATAACTTTTGCAAAATATATTATTTTATTGGAAACGTATAAATTTTTATGTAACTATGTTATGTAACTATGAAAAGTCGAGACTATCGATAATATTTTTAAAAAGATCTCGTGTCACGATTGCTTTAATCATCAATTTTCATCTTTCCATTTGATTCTCGTTTGACTCTATCGAACTCTGATCTTTGAAGCTCGCAGTTAAATTAAAAAAAATTAATCTTCTGCTATTTGAATCAATCGATTTTGCCGATATATCTAAAAGGCACATTTGTCTCCATTTATCACGTTCCGGTTTTATTTTTTTTCCTATATAAAAACATGTGCTTTTCTGTCGATTAATTGCAATCGGCACATTAAAACACAAAATTCGATTAACTGACATAAATCAAATGTTTCGTGCTTGACGGTCGTCTAACTAATTAATTGTATTAAGAGATTATTGATAATCTCGAATAAAAGAATATTTTTCATAGGTTAAATTTGTTAAATTATTCTGAAACGCGATACCACTTAATAATATTCGACAACAAAGTATAATCGAAATGATGCATTCCTCATGGTTGAAGGATTTAGTAGATTTTTTTTTCGACGTGTGCCAATTCTGTCTCTATGTGGCAATGCGAATTCGTTGTGCCAGCGTTCTCTCCACGCATATTGGCAATTGCGGTTAAAACAATAGCGGAACATTATTCATTCAGTTGAATCAGAAGAATTGTTACCGAATAACAATTTCTTGTAATTACATTACTGTCAACGAATTTACTTATTGATACTTCGATATAAAAAGTAAAAATAATTTAATATTTTTAAATAATTTACTATTTATTTTTTAACCTTTTCACATTCACTTAAAAAAAAATATACATTTTACAACGAAATAATAGCTTATTAAAAGAAATGTATTGTATAAATAATATTAATAACACGTTTAAAAATAACTGGCGAAAAATTTCTACTAATATTAATCTTTAATATTATCTTCTACAACTTTACACACGCTGCATAAAATATTTATATATATATATTTTAAAATGTTTTATAAATATTATAACAGGATTTGTGGTGAGGTTCAAAAAAATGTTTCTATTGACATTTGTTTTCCATTTGTTATTTGTATTTGCATTAAAATATTATGCTAGAATGATGACGAAAAATTTATATGCATCGTTTGAAGCAGTTTAAAGTGAACGTTGTAAAAGTATGCACATATTTAGATACATTTTATATAAATAACGTATAATATTCTGAGCCTGGAAATAAAAATCAAAATTTCAAAACCAACGATCGTCACATTTATATTCGAGGAATATACGCTTATTGAGATGTTGCAACAAAAGATCAACGCACGTGATATTTAATTAAGCATTTCGTTAATGAAGCAATGTAAGTGATGGTCTACGGAGTCAAGGTTCCGAGATTGAGTCAGACTACGTCTAATTAAAGATACATATTAGACTAACATATCCGATGCTTGGCTCGAAGCGACACATATATGTTCTATTTTATTGTAATTCTATTTTAATTAACTACTATTAAGTATGTAGTAATTTTCCATTTTAATGCAACAAATCTGTAAAAGCACATAAAAATCTCTATAAAATATTTAAGTTGTAATTATAATTTTTATAATTATTTAAAATATATGCAAATCACATATATATTAGAATCTGTCTCAATGTAATAAAAAATTATTTAACATTTTCGAAATTATATTTATGTTATTGTATTACTGATATAACATAACTACTAATATAAATATATTGATATAATATAATTGATATAGTAATGAGATAATCTTATAATGTAAAAGATACGTAAAAAAAGTAACAGAGATATATGAGTATCTCATATGAATAACATCAAAAACATGTATTAATTACAATGCAAAATAACGTACGTCACAAACGAATGTCAAAAAATAAATGATGCACAAAAAAATAAAAATTAAAATTAAAATATTACTTATTCCATCGTCATCCATAGTTTCCAGAGTCTTCTCATTTTTTTGTAATACTCTGTTAATTCTTCTTGATAACATTCGTGAAAACATGATTAATTATGATTGCGCATTGCGTACTAACTAATAATCCCACGATAATTTATGTGACATTTTATTATGTGGCATTTCGCGAGTAGTACGAGGGTAGTATGCTTCGTTCTCTAACGTTTTGTAAATCAGTATCTTGCATCTTTAACGGCGGAAAATCTTACTCTTATAATTTTCATTTTTCTTTTCATCAATATTACATCTTCAAAAGAACAACGTCTGGTATATCGTCTTTAATAAGTAACAGTCGCTTCGGCACGCTTACGAATCATGAGATTCGATTAATCAATATAGGTTGATAATCGATAATTGTAACGAGGAATAATTGCGTTTTGAAGAATAATGGCACAACACACAGGCCAGCTGCTGGCTCCGCTTGCTTTAGAAATATGCAATTCGCTGTTATAGGTACACGCATTGCTAGCGTCACAACAAAGTACATTACAAGAAAACAAATGCTGAACGTCGACCGAATTTATCACCGCCACGAAATATTTAACGTATCGTAAAATTAACATACGGAATATTTTGTCTGATGCATTGAATTAATTCCGACGAATGGCCTATGTATTCATCGCACAGATACACTCAACGTTTATTTGAGGAATAAAATTATCACGAATAAATCAATCGTTTTCGAATAAAATTTATCTTTTTGAAGTTTACGATTATAATTTTAATTCATAGAATACACTATTACTGTACAGTATTCGAAAATATATTATTTATTATAAATTTCTTAAAAATCCATTATTGAATTATTCTTCACTCAAATTATTTCATTTTTAATTTTGTGTAATGCTATATGGCCTTATGTGGCCTTACATTCCCGATCTACAATTCATAAACGTTAATTTACGTTTATGATTCCTCGGTAACTCGACATTGTAACAAAAGCACGAGTGTCGTGTAAGGATTATTCATGACAATCCACGAGAACTCGATGTATCTGTACGACGTGTAATATAGAAATCGATACTAATTATAGTATTTGTATGCACATCATATAGCTTGCGTTTGTACGTAGATCGTAGTAAATGTCTCATATGTCACGTGATAAACTTTATCTACATGTGTATTTCTCAGCAAATTTTGAATCAATTTTCTCTTAAAATAAAAGTTAAGCGTACATAAATTTAAGCATAAATCTAAAATTGCATAACATCCAAAGTAAAAGTACCTCTTATAATAAACTGTAAAACAGAATTTCACTTTAATAGAAATTTGATGATGTAATGATATTTGTGGAAGAACCTGTACAATGATAACCTTTAACATTGCACAGCGACGCTGAGCCATCATGAAATCCGACGACCGCGTTTCCGTTATATCAATTAGTGCATGTGATTGCCATTCCCGACGATTGGAAAGGTCAAAACTCTCTCTTCCTCTTTTTATATAAACTTTCATTACTACTAGATATTAATAATCTACAAGTCGATATGAATTTGTAATTTTTAAAGAAGTCAAATACAAATGCACATTAAAAGTTTGCGATTTAATGATAAATCTTTTTCTTGGAAAAAGATTGCTTAAGATAAATAAAAAGTTTGTAGTCTTGCAATTTTTATAAAAGATAATATGAAAAGTATATACACGTAATCTCATGAAAAATATTTCAACAATAAAATTCAAAAATTGTGAAAGTAGATTTGCGAAATAAATATATTCCAAAATAAATATATATAAATGTAAATATAAAACAAACAACAAACAACAATATATATATATATATATATATATATATAATGCGAATTATTTCTATATATTAGGGAAATTACATATTATCTCATATATTTCCCTCAAATTTCTAGTCATTAGAACCTGGCTTTTTCAAGTTGACAAACTCATCTAAATAAGGGAATGTTCGAGGGATGAAAGGAATGATCAGGGCTGGCGAACAGCTTCCTCTCGAGGAACCCCTATCATAAATGGCTCGATATTACGCGCGACGGTCAATCGATCTTCATTAAATAGAGACAGGCTGCAATTTGCATAGAAAAATCGAGCGCTAATCCTATAAAAGATGAAAGAAAACGACGGTATGTCAGTGTCAGTCGACGGATGCACGCTGTCGGACGGTGAAAATCGATCTATCAGGATCGAGACGTCAGTCCCGACATTCGAACGGGACGATCGATTTATAGACCGTTCGCAGAACGCAGGATTTTTTTCTGAAATCCCGAAAACCCGTCGTTTCCACGTTTCCACCGACTGTAAAATATCAATGCGACTCAACCGACGTTGTCCATTCGCTGTGCCAAATTTAAGACAGTGCCTATCTGTCTAATAGCACGCTCGATATCGATCTGCCGCAAGACGGACGGACTAATTTTAGGTTGTTACATCAAGTCGCGAGTTTTATAGGACGTTATTATAAAGTAAAAAAGTTTGCTAAGAGTAATTACGCTGTCTATATTTAGATGGTAGCGTCTTCCTGTACGACTGAAGAATTCAAGAGCTTATATCCAAGTCGTTTTTAATTTCGTCGTTTTTAGAAAGTGCAGCTTACGCGCGCGAATAAGCGGCGGGGAAAAAGTTTAAGGAATTACGTGATCCCCCATTGCCCTTTCTACGATACGAATTTAGAATACCCGGTGAGCAAATCAGCTCTTCAATTTCGTGCGGCTCTTGCAACGAAAAAAAAAAAAAAAAAAAGGTACTGCTCCGCGGCACTCAATTATTAACGAGAGATTACATAAGAGGCCGTAATCTCCTCGGTAGGGAGCTTCGGAATAAAGCTACGTTGTCATTTCGATCGGATCGTTTTTCACCGGACGGACGAGCGATCTCGTTCAGAATTTAGAGCCTTCGGACGAAACGTATCGCGGACACACACGCTCGTTGTTCCCTGGATAAATGGGGTATACCTCGTGCAGACTAGTCTTTCTCAGAGACGCGTGACGTATAGCCGATGAGGTATAGCGCGGTGTTATACCAATCCCGGTGGAGAAGAACGGCTTCATTGTCCGAGCCCGAATTGCGACGACGTTGTCTCCGACGAGCGAATTACAGAGCGAGAGTTTCGCGCGTCGTTAAGCCTTAAGTACTGACACGTCATCCGCAGCTGGAAGTATGTAACGTTACCTTCTGGGTTACACAGAATGCGCGCATTGTCATAATTGGAGCACGGAGATAAATTTTATAGTTACGCCGGGCATCAACGAACGTTTTTCTGCTGAAACGTTGGAAAATTTTCACAGAAATGTCACACAGTGATTTACTGAAAAGTTAAATACCATTTGTTTCACTAAAGCGAATTTCTTCAGACTTTACTCTTACTCATTTCCTATTCTATATTTCATAGTTGCCTTTATAACGCGCCTCTAAGTCTGCGCCTAATGGTAAACCTACGATTTTTATCACGTTTACAATTAAAAGACAAGGGGCAGTATCGTTGTCGTTTTCGCATTCGCGGGAATAACGATTATGTTGTTTTCTTTGCCGAAGAGTAGTTTCGTTTCGCATGAGGAAACTCGCGGAAGATGAAGAGCGTCGTCCTCGTTCACGTTAAAGCGATTTGTACGAGCGCAAGAGAAGTCTCCTTGTTTAAGGAAAGAAATGAGAACGGACGTAACGTGCCGTGATGGAGAGACTCGCGAGAAAAACTGCAAGATCTTTTCTCGAAAATAGTTATACGAGGACTAATATACCTTTTCATTCATTACAGGATCGTTACCCGATATCGCAGTGACTGATATGGCATCGGGCAGAGAAATCCACGGTGCTTTCAGGTGAGCTGACCTTTATATAACATAAAATTACATCAAATTTCGGTGTTTTGAAAATATTCCATTTTTATCGCGATTTTTCTCATATTAGAGTTGCATGATTCTTTTTCTGATGAATAAAATAATACGATTTCTTTGCAAAAAGAAATGATTTTGTTCATCTACTATTAATTCTGGCTTTAGTAAAAAAGAATACATACTTTACTGAAATTGTTTTATTTTGTGTTACTTTATATTTCCGCGATGATTCATCTTGTCCACTCATTATTTTCACTTTTCTTGCTTTACGCATGTAGTCTTGCGCGACTGCACTCGAAAAAAAGAGCGCGCGCGCGCGCATATATAAAACACACACACACACACACACACACACACACACACACACACACACACACACACACACATCAATGATTTCACCGCAGGAAGCCGGTTATTTCAAGGATTTTCGTGGGTGTATGTTTTCCGCGCGACCTTTAGAAATTCATTATTACACAAGATGCAAGAATGAGAAATTAGTTAGCCGTCTATTATATTAATGTACATCTTTCACGAACATAGTCTAACTTTTTAATGACGGCTTCTTTAATGAGTTTTTTGAGGATCTAATTTTCTTTAGTCAAGCTACAAGAAGATTTAGTTTCTTTCACACATCTAAATGATATGACGTAGCAAAAGCTATAAAAATTGTTCATATTGCGAGAATTGATTTAAAAAATGTCAAAAAATTTTCGATCTCTTCCAAGAAAATTGCTCTTAATTTAAATTGTTAAAGAAATATCTAATATGGAAGTATTCGTCAACAAAAAAATATTATCTTTCATTTTTCTTTAAACAGACTTCATTTTAACAATATAATTCGAGTATTAAAGTATTTCTCTTCTTTCGAGCGTATAAATGCATGTGAAGGAAGCCATGTAGTTTCAAGAATTTTTATGGCTGTGCATAAATCGATACATTCGCCAGTAACACCTGCATTGCAACAGAATATATTGGCTTTGTATTAAAATTAATTAAATATGCTAATTAAACGGAGAAATGTTTCTGTAACAATAAATTACGCTCTCACGTTTTTCATGACATTTGCAAATTCTTGGCGTGGGTGTTAGTGAAAAAGATCGTGGGGCACTTTGATGGTATATCGATACGAGCTGCTGCCCCACAAATAGAAATGCTTAAATTTTATAGGATACTACTACTTTTATATTTAATCGGCATCTAATCAATATTTCACGAGACGCACCCTGCAGATCGATTATTTTTATAACATCTGCATTTACTTCAGAATATCGACGTTGCAAAATTAATTAAAGAGAAGAAGAATTTCCGCGACGTAAATAAGTTAACGAAAATGAATGCGACTTATTTCACGAAACATGACAGGAAAGGGGCTCGATTAATTTCAGATCCGTTATCTTTTGATCGCTCGATTTCAATTTGACGTATTATACTCGCGCGAGATATCTTTAGCGTCCCGACAGATCCTATTACGATGAAGATTTTTCGTAAAATCCTCGTGAACAAATAATGCATCTATTTCGGCTTCACGGCGCGTTTCGCGCTAATCAATCGTATATTTTCGTCGCGCCAAATTACCGCCAAATATGATTGCCCGATTCTCTAGTCTGTGTCTACGACTCGGATATGATATTTCCACGAATAGAATTCGGCGTTAGAAACGCGTCGTGAGATTCGTGATTAGAATAGCGTGCACGGATTTAGAGTACGAGTATCGATCGCGTCTTCTCGCGATGCGACACGACAAACGATAGCGGCTCGAGAGTCACACAATTTCGAGCTGTTCCGCGATAGCGCACTGGTCGACTGGCAGTGAATGGAAGAAAAAAATTGCCTTGGCGGCCAGCAAGAGTCGGTGGAGAGTCGCGCGCTTATTCTTAGCGGCGTTACTTTATTTTTATTGCGCCTATAGCACGATATCGATCGCACTCACGCGCATACCGCGCGAGTTGACGTCGTTTGGCCTGATAGTCACTCATAAGTAATGCAACGAGAAAGTAGTATTGCCGCGTCAGTAGGCAGACTGAAGTTGAATGAAGAAACGCGGCGGAAGTATCGGGCCTATCTTTAGTCGCGATAAAGTTACGTGTGCTGTCTCAACCCTTTACATTCTATTAGAGAAAGAGAGCGATTCAAGCAGTTTCTACAAATGTTACGAATTGTAAAAGGAACAGTAGAAATAATCATGTTACGTAAATTGAACTTGTAATTAAAAATGTATAATTAATATCAAATATATATATAAGATTGATTATTCCCTTAATTAATGCGAAATTATTTAAAATAATTATTTCTTAATATATATATATATATATATATATATATATATTAAG